CCGTCGAAAACCGGTCCTGCTTGTGGCCGCTAGCCGATTTTGCCTGACGAACACATGCGGTCGCCATCTTGGATCGGCCGGGGATGACGTCATTGGTACAAGGCACGGCCGCTTGCTCAATTCTAGCTCCAGCTAGAGATGGAAACAGAGGCCGCGGCCAATAGTGACGCTTCGTTGAACGGGCCTTGATATTTCGCCTTTCGATTTTATTCATCTTTCGCAGTTTTATTGCCGAGGAGGATTTACAGTCAGAGACAAAAGCACTTATACGAGTGCAAGTTAACTCTAGTCCAAATACAGTCCGCGACAAAAGCATAGCGTACTCTATCTATCTAAATTTAATGTTTCTGCAATTAATGTTTCTACGTGATAAAACCCGGTCAATTTTAATGCTCAATGATCTTTATTACGTAGTTATGTTACATAGTTTGACTTTACTATAGAAAACTGAACGAAACGGCCACGTTATTTAAGTATTAAAAAAAATGATTTTCAATATTTGCCGCTCACTTCTTTGCTTCGTACGATTGCCAACACGAGCTTTGCAAGCGATATATCTTGTTTTTTAATATATCTAGAACAACGATTTCCCTATTTTGTTGAATACAGTGTTTTTAATACTGTAACACTTTCGAATTGCCTTACGTACTCCTATAACCGTCTGTTATTAATTCTACCTAATAATTTTCCATTATAATAAGATCGAGTAATCCCGTTGGCCGTACCAAAATAACCTACTAAAATATTCCTTTTTCTCAAAGCAGTCTCTTACACGTTTTGTTATCCACCTACGTTGCCCCGTTGGAATATTACATTTTCACAAGCGATTATGGCTTTACGATCGCTTGTTTGTTCATCTATTAAGTCAATGTATTTCCAACTATATAATCGTCTTCATTTTAATTGCTCTGCAGTATCTAATTTCGACCTAAATTGGCAATTTAACGCTTACTCTTCCTTTCCTTTTGTCGTGGAAGTATGCGATACCAAGAACAATCCGGATCATCCAAAAAAAAGAATCATTTTCATAAAAAAAAAAAAAGAAAAAAAGTCTACGTCATTTTCCATCGAGTAATGTCCTCTAGTGCAAAGTATAAACGTTTTTCATGTGTGTTTCGTGGTAAAAGGTAGTTTCCTTCTGCTTTAAATGTGGACATTATTATGTAACGCATTGTTCGTTACGCTATATACGCATATACCATATATATGCGGAACGGTGTGTCATACTGCCGAAAATGAATTTTACGCTTTTCTTAAAGTCACACGTTCGCGGTAAGAATTTATCGTTTTCGATTGACCAGCATCCTCCTGTTTACTACATTTTTCTGAGTTGTGTAATAAATCGCAAGCAATTTTTCGACTCTGATCTATAATACCTATATGAAATACCTATATGAAATTTTCAACGCCGACTACTTTTCTCGCTCCGATGTTGGAATTGTTTGTAATATTTCGTCGTCGCTTACCGATTTTCCATGTCCTATACCGAAATCTAGAAAAAGGAAAGAAGAAAGAAAAACAGATTTTCACGGTTTACAAACCCAAATTTCACGGTTTACTGCCGATACTCTCAAATGAAAATGGAAATAATTTCCATTGTTTTATAAGACTGTTTATAAAACGCCAAAGAAAGTTTTATTAGTTGGATCGAATGGTATATGTATTTTCGCCATTTATATGTACAAACGTATAAATATATGTATATATTTTGAATATTTGTAATCCTATGTTAAACTTGAAGCGCTTTCACGTTTAATATGTAAAATAAATGTCCTCTGTACGAAAACGTAATTTGGAAGGAACGCAGATAACAGAGAAAATACGTGCACATAAAATTTGCGATCTTACTTTTGCAGAATTTGCAAAATTTTTTGCTAAAAAAATAGCCTTATTAGAATATTAATTACGACTTACGGAATTTTCTAATATAAAAATATCCTTGATAGCATATATTGTATATCGCAGCATATACCATAGCATGTATATACATTAGATCGAAAATGTTTAATTGTATGGAAAGTTGGCAAGTTTGAAAAGTTTTTCGCGATCTAAAAGATAAAATTTAATATATGATTCTGTTTTCTCACGTGTGATGTATTAAATTGTAATGTTTGCAACCGATTTGTAAAATGTTATCGAACATTTATTAGTAATTGAAACTTCAATTACTAATAAATTAACCCGCTAATGATTAATTATTGTTTGTTTCTATACGTTGGACTACTATGCAGATGGTAATCGTGATCGTGTACAATACTGAATCACGATCGAACAATGGTTTATTGCGCAAGATCTTACGGTTGTGCATTTTCTGCAATTTCAGTCTATATCGCATAGCAATATGAATTCCTTCTTTACCGTTTCTGTCAGCATAGTATTAATAATTCGTCGTATTTTTGGAAGATTATCCGATAGTTGAAAGAGCAAAGGAAAATTAAGTTGATTTAAGCGTTCCGCCAGATATTATGGTATACATTGATCTAGATTAGATATAAATTATATAGAATTATAACGATCTTTTACTTTTACTTAGAATTTTCATTATACAAACGTGACAAATTTTTGTCACGCAGCTCGAAGAAAGATCCGTCTTAATAGAAAATTGTAACGGAAAAACGATAACGATTCTTTTACATTACTCTTTTTAGCAACGTTTTTAATAATAGAAAAATACAACTTGATCGAAAATGATTCAAAGAAAGCGATAGAGTTAAGTAAAACATCGCATGATAAATTTGTCTTTTCTAATAAATTCTAGTATTGAATTATTAAAATTATAAGGGACAAAATTATTACTAAAATTATCATATCAAGCTATTTTTAACAATCTTTGACGCGATAATGTGGAAAATATAGTTAAGGAAGATTTATGCACGGTTTATAGAGTGTTGCGTTTGAGAGGTGTTAAATATTTTAGTATTTGTCTTTGTGTGCGGATTTCACTGCAAATAGATATACCGAGAATTTAGGCTAGGTTTTGCCATATTTCTGGTCTTACGTCAGATACGAAATGACGAGTTCCGTTTTCAAGGAATATCTGTGGGTATGTGCTCGTGTATTATTCGTAGAAAAAATTCTTCTTTTATTCATCTCGATTTCTGTTCCGATTGCTCTCAACAATGAAAGCTAACGAACGTTTCATTAAATTATTTACATAATTAACATTTTAAGCGCTTAGTTTATTCCGATAGTAATCTACAGGCTAAAACGCATTTTGCACTTTACACGTAGAAAAAGGAGACACTGTACGCGCGCGTGTTTCTGTGTGAAGTAAAAAGCAAATAATAAACAGAAACGAATTAATTCTGTGCTTCCTGCAGCTTCCAACATGAGATCACACACTTTAGTTTTTACAAGATTTTCACCTTTAAGAGACTATTATTGCCATTTACTTACGTGTCAGCGCGTGTTCTCATCGCAGTTCTTCGAACCTTTCTAGATGTTTCCTGCGCAATACCACGATCGTACAAACAGCTCTCGACACTTGTCGGAGAAAACTAACAATTGAGAGTGGGAAAATTGAGTCGCGTCTAATCAACAAACGTGAAAAATCAACATGGAAGATGAACGAAGTTGGCGTTCTTCAGAGACAGGCAGAGATGCGTAATAATTATGCGGAATAATTTCACAATTAGCGACGATTCAATTTTTCGGTCCGTTTCCGCCTAGGCCTCGATACAAGAGTGTATATCCGTAGCGATAACAAAAAAATGTATTTTCATTTAAAAGTACAGCGTACGCGGCAATTTATAGTTTGAAATTGATATTTTTAATTTTGCTTATAAGAAAAAACATATCGCTATATTTATGTGACGTGTTTCCACCTAAATCTACGAAGCAACTTGTATTGAAAAATTCACGTTTTAGATTTTATATACCTATTATATACTATGGTGCGAAACTTGATGAATAATTTGCCTGATATTATCGTCTTTGCTACTTGTTTAGACATAATTGTAAATAGATTTTTTGAAATTTGCAACAATTTCTAGCTGTATACACGTAGCCTGTATACTACGCGACAAGTCGTTTCACGTTCGTACTGTGACAGTGATCTTGAACGATGTTCTTCGGATCTAAATCGTGTAGTAATTACCGGTACCGTTTTAAGTCGAAAGGGAGTATCCGCAACTTTCGCTCGAATCGAGTCATTGCTGCTAGATAGTACAAAGATAGTTTATCTAAATGTATATTAAATAAGAAAGTCGTATTTACAATGAAATTGTATAACAGTTTAAATTTTGGAACGTATGCGAAATCGATAGCTGGTTGTTAAATAGTAAAAGTCATTTTTCAGCAAATTAATGGGTTATAGGTTGTGTTATAGTTATATTCGGCCGCCGAGAGATGACTGGCAACGCTAACATAGAAATATACAAATGCCATCCCCAATTATTACAGATCCAAGTTCGAAATAATAATCCTATAAATAAATATATGCGTATATTACATAGACAACTTTTACGAAAACGAGTTGACTTTAATTCCCTCCCGAGGCAAGATCCGGGTTGCAGTTGCAGGCAATTGACACATTCATCTTTCTTAAAACGAGCATCACTCTGTTGTATCGTTATATGTATGATCAGAATTTTCTTTTTTTTTTTTACAAAATAAGACTCCAGGACGAAAAGTTCACAAGTGTTAAATCGCGAGTGACTGATGTTTTTAAGGACATGCTGTACTTTATAAAAATATCACTATCGGTGATGTATACGTATTTTCATCGTTGCAATTATATCGCTGACATATTTTTTATACTTTATTTATTCTATATCGTATCTCTTATTCGTTATATCTCATTTATCTACGTTGTACGTTGTACGTTACGTTTCATTTATTTTCCTACCAGCTACGTAAGGCTGGTGAAAATAATGAAATTTCCCAGTCTCTTATAGAGCCTCTTTTTGTACACCGTAGAAAGAACTATGCTTAACGAGTTATATAAATCCTTTCGTGGCACATTTCGATCGATTCGCAGCGTGGATCGTGCAAGGGCACGGGCGCATACACGAGCCAGAGTTTCGCTTGTGCGTGGCTAGTGAAAGTAGAGTGTTTGCGCAACAAGGCGACGTTGTCTCTCCTTCGGATACTGGTTCGACTTTAAAGGCTCGATGCCTGTCTGTCTCCTAGACTTTCAACCGTGCCAGCTGTTAACGACATTGCTCTCGTTGTACGACTGCTTTTCTTTTTCCCCTTCGCACCGATAGTTTCTTGCAGTCTGTTTCCTCTGTCTTTGCGTATCGTCGTACAACTCGCGTCATCTTCCTACTGTATTCATATTGTAAATACGGTTTAGCATAGCCTAATGGAGAAGCCTCGTTCGAGCGTAAGAACAAAAGACGCGATTATTAGGATAATTTTTCGAATAACAAAGCATCTAAACGCTGTTCGTAATATCGTCGAATTAAATGCGACCGATTTTTACGTGAGCATTGCCGCTTCGAATCGTTAATTATAAATTTTGACGATCGTCGGTCGATTTTTCTTCGAAATTCATGGTGCGCAATAAGAGACGACATTGTTCGCGAAACGTGCCAATATTGTATGCGATGTTAGAACGATTCGTTATCCAGACATTGTCCGCTGTGTATCTAAGTAAAAGCTGAGAAAGAGTTAGAACGGAATCGATATCGAGGACTGGACGATATGTATCGAGCTCGCCACCACTTACATACCACTGAGAAGAGAGAATCGTAGAATAGGTGTGTCGCGACATTCCTCGTTGGAATTACCGATTACGAACACGTACGCGTCTTCTACACGAAAACTGCATGTATGTACGTATATTATAAATAATACAGGCTCGACGGCTCCGTCCGATTCATTCACTTGGAACGTGATCGGCAAGATGATTTCGTTCTATCCACTTGCGCGCACTTACGATCAGTCAGCACTTTTCGTTCGAACGACAGTCCCAGCGATTATTTAAGTACACCGTGACTCACGAAACTTCATGTATATGTATACAGAGTGTGCCACCAACTTTGTCCACCTCAAGTATCTTTGTTATTTCAAACAATACGTTTTCATACGTTTCGAATAAAAGTTGTGGGATTTAAAGGAATAGATAACGTGGTAGTAGCGATCTCTTGACAAGTGGCTGCGTTATTATTACGAGTTATAATTTAAATAAATAAATGACTCGTAGAATATTTCATTGCGAGAAGTAGTAGACTCGTCCGAGTCCATTATGATCTGGCTATACTTTGTAATTAATCAGGCGGAGTCTATGTAATTGTTATTTTTCTGGTAATTGGGAAAGTACGCAGTGAAAGTAATCGTAAATGTACCGAATACGAGTAGCGCACTCGTGGAAACATCCGAACATTTCTGTCCACGTAAATATCGTCTCACAATCGAGACTGCAACAGTGCTGTCTGTCGTCAACAGCAGACAATGCCGTTACAAACATCCAAAACCAAAATCATATCGAAGAACTGTTCTACGTAAATGAGGTTTACGTGGTCCGTAGTGTGAGAAATTTGGCTAAGAGACAAGGTCGTTGTCGGCCATCTATCGAGCAAAGTTTATTCGTATATTCTACCATTGGTACGTAAAAGATTCTTTTTATCGTTTTTCAGATGCTGTCGAGGTTGCTGGTCGTATTCTGGATGGCACTTCCTCTAGCGCTATCTCAGAGTAATTATGCGTCACAGGGAAACAGTATCGAATATCAGCCTGGTTTGCCGCCCAGCACAGTGTTAAATGGAAAAGTAACAAAATTGGACGACATCTCGTCGATGATATTTCTGAATCGTACAAAGGCCTACCTGAATTGCAGTCAAGGGAGCATGCAGGTGGAGCTGAAATTCGAGGAACCGTTTTACGGGGTCGCGTACGCTGATTTCGATCGAAACAGTGCCTGCATATTCAAAGGACGCGGATCGACCAGCGCCAAGTTGGAATTGCCTCTGAAAGGTACGTCGTTCTATCTCTTTCATTTTCGCTTCTTCTTAGACTCTGGTAATGACTCCGCTCAAGTACGAGGCAAAATGGTTCCAACATTGATCGTCTCTAGACTCGAATCCGTCGCAAGAACGTCGAAGGAAAGGGACCATCATCGACGTATCCGAGTTTGGGCTAGCCTCTCCGATACGGTCATAAAAGCCAACGAATAATTAATATTAGTTGGTTAATACTACTTGATTATAGAAAAATTTCACGCGAGTCGACTCGCCTCGCCTCGGCTGGATTAAAGGAACTGATTCGAATGCAAGATGTCGATGATCTTCGTTTTTAATTATAACTGCTAATTGGCCCGCGATAGTCAATAATACACCGGTTAAGAGCTGAAAGACGGTAGTTGTGTAATTTGGCAACCAGATGTAATATAAGAGGAACGCCTTTGTTTGCCTGTAAGCGATTTCTCCGCGTTATCGAGTATAAAAGAATCGTTAACGAACTCACAAAACTGATAAACCTACGTCGGTTGGGACGATAGAAGCAAAAATTTCAAACGTTCGTAGCGAATTTGGACGATGCACCAGCTACGAGGAGCTATTGCTCATGGAAAACGATCGAACGAACCATTAAATTAATAGCCCTATGAAGAGGACCGATACTGGATGGACTACATAACCCGCAATCCAGACCAAATACCGTACCAACGACGTACACGAGATACACGAAGAAAATCGACATAACGAGAAGTAAGACAGCACACCAAGCAAAAATACTAAGAGACCTATCACTCGGGCATCGAAAGCGATCAGGTTTACTACGATAGACTCGGATTTATTAACCTTTGACTCTGTTTCGACGATTGGCTACTTGCCGCTAATTTGCAAATGTGCAGAGATTATTCTTGTCCAGAAATCAAACAAACCAATCTCGTTACCTTCCGTATTGTCGAAAATAATAGAAAAGAATAACGAAAGAATAGTAATAATAATAATAATAATAATAATAATGGAAATAATAATAATAATAATAATAATAATAATAATAATAATAATAATAATAATAATAATAATAATAATAATAATAATAAGCGGAAAGCAAGCAACAGCTAATCTATTTGCGGCGATCTAGTTTCACACACAACGCCACAACGCCTTCGAATATAACCGCGTTTTCACGGATGTAGAAAAAGCGCTTGACAAAACTATCGCAACTATTTGCAAAATTGTTAATAGATTATCTCTTCGATTCGAACGTATCATTGGTAATCCATAAACGATACGCGAGAAAAAGTTTACTAGCCGGGAAATGAGAATGATACGAAGTGGACGAGACGAGATACAGCCAAGGCACTGTAGTTTGTTGTTACGACGCACTACGACACACGTACTTTAGTAAAGATTACTAGAGTAACGAAAAGAACGACGTTGGCGTGAATTTTGCCGAGCGCGACAGCGATAAACGCGTACGAGTAAGTACAGAGCCAAAGTTTCCGAGTGTTAAAACCTCGAGCATGTCGATATAGCGAGGCGCAGCAAATTTCAAATCCGCGCGAGCCAAACGCGGAAGCTTCGTCTCGGCGACGAGGCGGTGTTCGAATTTCGAAATCCGCGACAGTTTGATTTTCGACGAGCCGCGGCGGTTCGTCGAGTCCAACG